GCCTAAATCAGTTCGCTACATGAACTCTTACAGCGGACATACATACAAATTTACTCAGGCTGTAGGTAACACTGCGCGTGGGATCGGGATCTTCTACTAATGTGTGCATAGGACGGCTCGTTCAAATATGCCAAAGTCCACGTCAAAACGCAGCAAGGGGTTGAGAACCTCTCCTCTCAAGAGGCCACCAAAATCGCCGGGGAGGATCCTGATTTTATGATCCGTGACATGTTCGAAGCAATTGACAGAGGCGACTATCCTGTCTGGAATGTCTACGTCCAACTGATGAGTCCCGAAGAGGCCGAGAGGTACAAGTGGAATATCTTTGACATGACTAAGGTTTGGTCGCACAAGGATTTCCCTCTGCAGCAGATTGGTCGACTTACTATGAACCGCAACGTGAGTCTTTGTTTTTGAGTTTTATATTACAGTCGCTGAATTGGAATAGCCACAAAACTACTTCGCCGATATCGAGCAAGCTGCGTTCTCGCCCTCGACAATGGTCCCCGGAATCGCTGCGTCCGCTGATCCAGGTAGGCCAGAAAGCTGGAAAATTATAGGCCTTATGATTTGCAATGACTAACTCTCCCCGAGTGCTGCAAGCAAGACTCTTCGCATACCCCGATGCAGCCCGCTACCGCCTCGGTGTCAACTACCAGCAACTCCCCACCAACGCCGCGAAGGCGCAAGTCTACTGTCCCTTCCAGCGTGACGGAGCCATGCGATTTGATGGTAACTACGGTGGCGATCCCAACTACGTTGGCTCCTCGATCAAACCCATCAAGTTCTACCAAGACCAGAAGGGAATTCGCGCTTCTGCACTGGCCCTACACACCGAACACGAAAAGTGGGCAGGAGAGGTGTCCGCCTATACCAGCGAGATCACTGACGATGATTTCGTTCAGCCCGCAGCGTTGTGGGAAGTTATTGGCCGCCAGCCTGGTCACCAGGATAGAGTCATCGAGAACCTCGTCGGTAATATCAAGGGTGTTAAGTACCCTGAATTGCGTAAGGCTGTCTATAGTAAGTTTCCCCTGTAGCCTGAACCGAGCATTTTCGGTGAATCTGTCTACTAAGAAAATGAGGCTAACACCGAGCCTAGGCCTCTTCGGACGTGTCAACAAGGATCTCGGTTCTAAGTTGCGGCAGCGCACAGAAGCAGCGATCCAGGCTGCGTAGACCTCGGTAGGGCTGATTCACATATTCATTCTACATCACAAAATGAGTATATACGCGTCAGTCCGAAAAGGGAATAATTGAAATGATTCGGTTTCTGGGATCAATACGATTGAAGGATGGAAAATCGGGTTCGGAGTTTGTCTGATCAATGAGAAGCAACAAAAACAATTACCTGACCACCTGGTTACAGTAACGGGAAATTGATAATTGTTTAGTTTTGGATAGTCATTGTTTCTAATCTTCTATTCTACGCAAAATGCATGCAGTCCTTCAACCTACATCCAACTCTTGGATTTCGTTAAGGAAGACACGGCGGATTTTGCCCTACCGTCGCCAGTCACATGTAGCATTCGAAAGCATGGCTCTCAGGGACGACTGAGTGGAATGATTTGGATGTCCCTCCCATCGGTCGGTCCATCAGCAGCTAGAGAGTAATTAATCAAGTAGGGATGTCGAAGACATATTAGTCGAAATCGCGAAGTTCACGGTTGGAATTGGATGTCTAATTATGCAGATTGGCACAGAGATCCAAAATCGTACAATAAGATTTGGAAATAATAAACCCCTTCGACACTACGGCTTTTTTTTTCCAGGTCTCCCCACTTCAATGTATTGATTCAAGGGAAAGATTCATAGGAAATTCGTCGTGCCATGAGATGTAGCAAACTCCTGGTGGGGGGGGATTCAATCTTCTCTACCTCGAGATATATTACTCCAGTCATCAGACAAATGAGATACCGCTTTTGCTGCCACGTCCTCAATCATCTCCTTTACGTAGCGATGGGCACTAACAGAATTTTTGTGCTATCATATACTAAGTGGCTTACCAGTGTCAAGTCGCAATAGTCAGTCTTGCCCTTCTACCACGTCAAACACATTTCAAATAGATTAGCAATAATCATGATGTTTCTACTTTTTTGAGACGATAAAAATTCGTGTTGCTTCTAGATGCTAAGAATCAGTCACATATTATCAATGGAAGCTTTTAAGCCAAATCAATATATAGATATTTGGAAAGACAAAGTTTTTGTCCGCTTACCATAGCCGAGAAAAACTTACATTGTCCTCTCGATCCGGCTATACTAATCAGCAAATCATCGCCACTGACAGATCGACTCATTATTTTTTTGCCTCTATCCTACATAAGCCCTTCACATAGCTATTGGCCCATTTCCCTGATGCAGTTTATCTACGGGCTGTTCCACGGCCGTTTCTAATAGTGGATCTCAGATGATTTGGCACACCTATGGAATATTAGGTTACAGCCTGCAAGAAATGAGTATCTTTTGTTTATGACACATAGCCCGAGGTCTGAGAAGCTTAGTGACCCTAGTCACAGCTTTTCATGAATTTCCGTTATTTTAACAAGACATCAATTTGAGAAAAGGATCGATTATGAGGTTTCTTGACCTTTCTGTACTCAGAGATTAGTGAATATCTCTACGTAGTCAGTATTAGATAATGCGAATGTATATTAAAAATGTCGGGATATATCCTCCCGTCAGAATAAGCAAAGACATGTTGTACGTAATCTTGCTAAGCTGCGGCTCCCACCGCATGGATTCAGGGGTATTTGGCCTTGACGGGAGACACATCTATCATATACACGAATCAATCAACCTTTGCTTTAGAAGCATAAACTGTTCACTTAACTGTGTACACAGGACCTAGCTGGTGATACCAACAATAACCATAGTAAGCTGGTTACCCTTCTTGGGCGTCTAAAAATGGGCGCTATCAAACATGCAAACGACGTCGAGCTCGAAATGCGGCTGCCAATGTGGAGAGAGGGGTCCTCTCGAAAACAAGCGTAAGCAGAGCGAAGATAGCCAGAGCGATATCGGCGAACGGGCTAACCTAAAAAGAGGGGTGGATCACGGTTTTGATCGAGATTATCTTTACTTGAAGGTCGGCACTAGGTCTCCGTTGGTGAGGGCGGTCTCAACTACGTCAACTAAAAGGCGAGGCGCCTCGCTTTTGGCCTTTGTACCCGTGCTGACCAGCTGGCACTGTCTGTCAGAACCATGGCTTCACTAACGTGGGTTGGGGCCAGGCAGAGTCGCACTGCTGAACTGATTGAGCCTAATGAAAAGGGAGAGCACCATATAGTCAAGGCTAATTTTTACTTTTACCTTAGATAAAGGACGTAAAAAACAAATCCGAAGCTTGGCTGCGTGAAGATTGACTGCGTGAGGAAAGAAAATTTATCTATAGTGGCAAGCAGCTGCCCCCGGTGAGGCAGTTTTAGACGAAAGTAGCCTTCAATAGCGGCGATGTAGGCTAGAGTGGGGCAGCCTCAATAAAGCGATTCCTGAAAAGGCAGAGAAAGATTTAATGTGCCACCGGCCCAAAAAGCAATAAGATACTGTGTCTCGGCTGTTACACCTAAACCAGAGGATGAAACAATGCCAATCATAGGCCCTGTATATCAAGTTCGAAAAAGGAATGGGTGCTTATAGATCAGGTCATGCCCTGAAGTTTGAATCGCGCCCAATTATAGACTAGATTCTCACATTTTCAGTGAAACTGCAGGCCTTGAAGGGCTTTCTCTGCGCAAAGGGCTATTGATAAGAATATATCCTTACGGAGTCACATTGGGCGTAATTAAGAAAGCACCTCCTTACAGCGGCAAGACGGAATGTCTGCACCGTCACAAAAGTAGGATGGGGGGTGCCAAAAGTGATCGAGCAAAGTAGAAGTATCCAAAGTTTCCCGAGGCCAAGACGGAAGGTATGAATAAATGGCGGTTTGAAGCAATGCTATCATTTGCAATATCCATGGTGGATCGATTTAGCGATCACTCTGAGCCTGTGGGAGTCAAAGTAGGGCTAGTATTACACAAACGTAAATGTATGTTCTTGTAGCCAGTCGTAAGATAATGTCAGCCCTGCCAAAGACACGCCCTGGTACGATAGAGAGAATGAGTCAATTCATTTGTTCCCAATTAAAACACGGGAAATGAGTCAAGAATCGATCGGATTTGAAATTGTGCACTGCATGAATATGTTCTAGAAATTGCTATCCCTAATGCCCATGCATAGAGGATAGCAGTGAGTCAGGTGTCCATCCATCATCAATCCGAATATTACCCTCCTGCTTCCCTGAGGAGTATAACAAATTCAAAAGGCACTTTTCCACCCCCTGGCGTGCCTCCAAACTGAATGTTTCCAAAACTTTCACCATTTCCACGATGTAAGTGATCTTGGCATCTCCATTGCCAAAGACTCCCGTCAGAGTCTGGTATAAAATTGATTGCAGTGTGTGAGGGGAATGAGACCACGCATTTTGAGACTCCTTTAACGTAGTCTCCAACACAGCTAGCACTTTCGGTACGCCACCTATGTAGGCGGGGTCCTTGTATGAAAGAGAGATCGCCTCCTGAAGAATAATACTGAGAGTGAATAGACATGTCAGAATTTCGTACTCGAGACCGGATATATTTGAACCAAGATGCGAGTTTTCAACCAGAAGCTGATATGTATCGTGGAGAAATTTGATTGCAGTGTGAATCGAGTGGAAGGGGGTCAGTCTGGCTCCATGATAATATCCCATGAAAGTTCGCATGTCCTGGATAAAAGATATCAGCCAAAGACAACGAACTTTTTGAATATCGAGGGACGGTAGCGGCCCCTGGGCGAGGTGGAATCTGGAAAAGGGACTAGATATGTCCTCGAGTCGATTCGTAGGCTCAAGCCAGGAAGGCCTTGACATCAAAGAAACCCTAGGGGAATGTTAAATCTCTCATTTGGGTAGGTGAAGCGAAATAGAGGAATATCACCCACAGATAGACGACAAGCTCCAACCGCCAATTTCCATGTAGTTCATGAACCCCCCCCCTTGGCTATAATCATTTTTTGCAGGCCTTTGCGATGGATTTCCCATTCTATATCATTGCCCCAATATCTCTAATTGTAGTCTGGTTAGAACTCTCTGGCAGAATAAGTGAGTGACCTTCACTGAGAGGTGTACCTCAAATGTAAGAAGGCGAACGACGGCAGCAAAAGCGTCATCGCTTAGCTCTTTCTTAGGATCAACCATCCAAGAATTCAGAATTCTTACTGCCTCTGCTTTGTACTTCAAAGCATCAGATGAATTTGTACCACGATGGGGAGGAGACCCAGCATAAAGGTGAGCTAGGTGGGCGGCAGAATGGGCCATGATGCAATTGAAAGATGAAGCATTTGAAAGGTCCAGGGGAAACCAAACTTCCCTCATCGGATTGAATGAACTGGCATCCAGGTCGTCAAACATCATCGCGGCGTGGGTGCATATCCCTAAGAATCAGTGAGTTCGTTTCTATCTTCAACTCAACAACCTCTAATACAAACAGTGATGCAAAAGCTTTTGGTGCTGGGATGTGAGGTGGATGGGACACGTTTGAAATGGATCGGGTCTTGAACCAAGTAGAGCACAGCTGACACCTTTCAAAAGCTGCACTGCAATATTGGAATCATTCTCTTCACAATCGTCGCAATGATCATGTCTCCTGCAAGAAGATACATCTGCAACTTCATCCTGAATTTGGGAGGTTCCTTTGTTCTGCTGATGACGTGGGAGTAACTCTCGAGCCATTCGCCCCACACCAGGCGTCGACTCTTGCTGGCGTCGATGTCGTTGTTTCCAATACTCCCGCATAGCATGACTTCGCGCTTTTGAAGGGCTATTACCTCCAACAAAAGTGAATTGATGGGCTCCGGTGGAGGGATCTAAGGCTTTATTGGACATTATACCCGTTGAATTACGAAATGGCGAGGCGAGTGTTGTTTGCGTGTGGCAATTCTGGATGCCGGTGTGGCGTGGCGGAAGGAAGCACTAAATGTCACATGATCTTCTTCCTACCGCTGGGGTAGACGGTAGACCTCACCAAACGCGCCGGTTACTGAAACAATCATGGGGGCTGGGATCACGTGCATACGTATATATCTGTCTACCAGCCCCCTTGTATCTTAAAATAACACACAATCAATTCCCGACAGTAATATGAACATCGAAGCATCACTTATGAACCGATGTGTTAATGGTGAGGGCTGGAGGTGAGTGAGGGTTGAGGGTAAGAATTGGTGATGATGGCGATTATGGTGATTGATGGGGACAAAACCAGTGAATCCACATGCTGATGTGCAGTGCGGCGCGATTGCCGAGCGGTGAAGTGGCTGCACCGGTAACCATCCATCGCCGCCATAGCGGGGATCTTAGTTCCCTCCTGAATTCAGAAGTTGATATACAGTGCGAAACGATGATTTCCATCAGCTTCAATCTGGCAGTACAGCAGAGTGCAGTGTAATGTAAGAAAACATATCTCCGCACTCTCAAAGTCGAAACTATCCGATCGTGGACTCAACCAGGATAGGTGTAATATCAATGGATGGGCTTTCTAAAAAAACATTCTCAAAAGAGTCATCATTTGTATAGTCATTTGCTTTTGCGCTTCTAGGTTCGCAGCCAGAGCTAATTAGAAGCCTGCTGCGAATTTGGTAGAATAATATGACAAACTGAAGAAGTGGTCAAATTCCACTAGGACCCTTCTGGACAGGCTTATTCATCGTCCACCAGTTCCTTCTAGTATGGTGTCATAAAACGCCGTAGTTCGAGGATAGAGACCTTTAAGATCACTCAACCGATATCAACATGTACAATCAATAATCTGATTCCATTACACATGTTTAGCACTAGCCAGTACAACGATTCCTCTATAATACACCCGCAGCGACGAAACATTGCGGCTGGGAAATGCGCCGTAATTTCGCCCCATTCCAGCCTCTCTTTCTCCTTCTACTTCATTAGCAGGCAATTCTTATCCGCCGAATACGGCAAAGTTTGTTCTTTGCATGAAAGAGGTGAGATTCGGTCTCTGACTTGCTTCAGTTTCCTGCTTGGCACCACGGCCTATGAGTACTCTGGGCGGAGACGGAAGGGGGCGAACGAATTTCGTCGGGCACAAAAAGAATTTAGGCTCAAGTCCTTCAGACTGGATTTTATTTGTAAATATGCGCACCCCATTCCCCGGCCGACTATGTCACAAGACGTTTTATGACAACTCAGAAAGCCATCGCGAGAACCATGTTTCCTGAATGAGATTATAAAAAGTTTTTTGCTAATTTACCAAGTGAAATAATGAAACGAAATATAGAAAAATTGAATCCCAGGTACAAAGCAGGGATACTGGTTTTGCAAACTTCAAAAAAGTCTTCGTCAGTTCAAAAAGCAGGTGATGGTTTGTGGCGATATGGTTCTGTGGGTGAGTCTGAACTCTCCTATCAAGAGAGCCAAATTTGAGGCTTCATTTCAGATGTCAAGGACGTCATATTACCCGCATCCGCCCAAGGCTCGCAGTATAATGGGTTGCGTATAAACAACTCGTGGATGGCGAACAATTTAGTATTTTATCAGCTTCAACATGTTTTACAATGTCTGATTCATAAAACCATTCTCTTTAATAATAAAAGGAACAACAAAGAAAGGAGTCAACATTCGGATCATTAGTAATGTCCGAAAGTCTGCCTTACCCTCCCATTTCCATAACCTTTCGGCATTAATGAAAATTTAGACACCCGTGAGAAACCAAACCACAAACAATCTGCACTCAAAAAACTTCTGGGTCACCTTTCTCGAAGTCGTTCTTCTCGTTCCTTCAAAGACGGGGACCCGCATAGCAGCGATGCCGAGGCCAAGACATACGAAGACTACTTGAGAAAGGACGAAGAAAACTTGGAAGAATACTACAAAAAGGAAGAAGATAAAATAACGAAGGAGGATGAAACTCGCAAGGATGAATCTGGAAACTATGGAGCATTAATTGACAACTAAATGTGACTATTGGGGACCGTGTTGCGATGGCGCCTGGCAATACTTCTGACTTAACTCGAGAATTTATCACTGTATTGTTTGTGGTCAATGAGATACGGTTTAGTCCTCAACCCTATGCATATGTGAATTATCGTTTGACTTCAGTTAGAGATTACTCATGAAAGATGAGCAGATCCTAAAGGAAAAAGAGGTAATTGTTCTAGAGATGCACATTCACATGGTGAATCAGTCATAGTCTTGTATCGAAAGTCTTTCTGCCCTTACTGACATGGAAGCTTCACAGAGCAAAGGTTTTCTACATCATATACTGCGGTAGTAAGAGACTGGAATCCTGCAACTCACGTGGCAAAATTAGAAAAGGTTTATCATGGGAAAACCCTTCATGTTCGAAGGTTTGGTTTTCTGTTAAGACACTTATTTCAACCATGATCTATTACGAGTGAGCGAAGATGTTCCAGTAGACGAGGTCATTCATTTGGCAGTACCTCGAGTAAATGAGAGAATCGTAACTTCTCCTCGTAAATATCAAAGTTCATGCAGTCTGTTGACCTGAGTCCATCATGGGTCGGATAATGTGGTAAAAAACAGCCAAATCCAATTCTGCCCTCCCAGAGTCGCTATCCAAAGACAAGTTTGGATAGAATGGTTCACAGCGAATCACAGAGTTAGAATAGTCGTTTTTGAAGCTTCGATGGGCCCCGAATATGTAATTCGTTGACAAGTCTGTTTTCTCAGCTGTTGCTCTGTAGTCTGGATAAAATCCGGGGAAAAGGGAGAAAATCTTTGTCAAAGCCGGGGCTTTCAAAGGTCCTTTGGGGCTTGAGGGGTGTGCAAACAACTTCAACAACGGATATGCTGACATTGAAGGCTTGGATCGCCTTCTGTGATCTTGCACTTCAGCCATAGGCAGGGTGCCATTCAGGGGTACTGACTGACGCTCAACCGAAATTGCGATTTTCGTTCCGTCGGTCCATTTATAAGCAACTAATATCGGTGGTTGAACAAGAAAGGACGTCAAAGATGGGACCTTTATTATATTGATGTCTTTGCTTGCGAAAATAGAGCCCCGGGTAATGTTAATATTGGTACACTCCGCGGTAATATGATACGAGACCCGAAGTTCCTCGTGATTAATTGTTACGGGGAGTGTCTTGTTGACTAGTAATTCAAACTGAATGTCGTGGATCCCTGGGAGTAGCTCTTTTTGAGAGCTTGAGGCCTTAGAACCGGATTTTGTATGGAGCATCCGTGATAGAGCTTTGATTCTTGCAAGTCGAAATTGATGAAAGGATGGGATCTAGTGATTACGCGACTGAATTGCGGAAACTTTGAAATTATTTTGCACGTACTCAGAATCTATAGACTATATCAGATCCCGAGTGACGTTTATTATCGAAGATTTACAATTATCTAATGTAATGGGGATTTCCGCTCTCAACATCGGCATCCTAGAGTCATGTGACTGAGGCCTTAGCAACAAGGCTACCGTTTTGTTTCGTGAGATTGAGTAGCGTTCGTTCGACAGTATCAATAACAAAAACTATGTTCCCCCTTATGAAAATTTTCTCCTGAGGCTGATGAGGTTGTGGTATCGGTATACTACTCATGAAAGGTTTTCTTGTTCATTCTATCAATCCTCTACAACGTCACGCTTTGCCGATCTCGTTCCTGCACTCTGCGAGTGTGGTGGTTTTGTCTCTTCGTGATCGACCCGTCTGCTTGACAGACTGCTAGCGAGCATTCCCATCTTACACTAAATAAATCAGCAATCAATCGTGTCAACGTATGTGTTATAAACTGACTGTTTGATGGGCGTTTCTTCGAAAAACCCTGGAGATTCAAAGATATAGAGGGCATGGGGTGGCTGGTTGATGAACCTCCAAGCCAACTGGCCTGGTAAAACAATAATAGGCATCTGCGCGTCGTCTATCATGAAAACAACATCTTCAATACTAAGGAAGAAAAGGGAAAATGGGAGTCCAGAATACTGATTTCCATCTTCTCTTCTTTTAACTGGCAGTAGCCTTAACATTTTTCTTCTGAAATGAATGATTAACTGCTGATTATCAATAACCACGCCCTCTACAGGTAAAAAAGAATGACTAATTGTCAGGGACTGAGCAGAGTGAGATGGTTCGAAGGGATGGGTCAGAGAGTCGGATTCCATTCAATTATTTCAGTAAAGCGTATGGCCTAGATGGTTGATGTAAAAGGATATTTGTGTCAATCCAATCGCCACAATAGGGGCGACCTTTCCGTACACGACTTAAAGCTGATTTATTGACTTTTGTAACCTTAAATGGGTATTAGATTGCCTTCTATCCATGGGAATAGCTGATGAGTGACATCATTAAGTCGGAGATATAAAGCTTATTGCAAAAAAAAAAAAAAAAAAAACGGGAAGCGATCAACTAATAAGTGAACCTCAATTGATATAGTAGATCGATATTCTGTTTTTGATTTACTCGGGCCGAAGCCGGCATGTAGAGCAACGATAATGACGTACCTCATCGAAGTGATAGCCAGGAACCTTATGTTCAAAAACACTCCTATTGAAACAATGAGATTTGAAGCTTTTTTCGATACCGGTATTGCTGATCTTGATACGTGACGCGAAATGTATTGATAAAGTCTGCTCCAATTTAATGCTCCATCACCCTGAAGGTGCGAATTCGTCCAGGAAAGTACGAATAGACCCAAAAGGAAGCCATACCGAATAATTGTTCATCAGATTTTCTTTGCGAGTGGCTTGAATTCGGGAAAATGCAAGAGAGATATGAAATCATGTTTTTAAAGGATTTCCTATTAAACAAAGAACAAAGTATTCAAGTTGGCCTAATAATTCTCGTACGATGGATCCTCCCGGTCGCACTCCAACCAAAATAATTCATACATTGGCTATATGGGGTTTGATCATACAAGAGCTATCGGTAACTTATATCCTTAAGGATATAAATAGGGCTTTGAGAATTAATTAACTTTAGAACTTGTAAACATTTTAGCCAAATCGTACGACAGAAATTGCTTGCAGTCAGGATAGTAGGTCTAAATACTGCCCAGATGTAAGGATTTATACCACCCTGCAGTGAGCCTCACTTGGCCGGGCCCGTTGAATAGGACACTGTAAGAGCGGGCTTTGGAGCTCAAAACAAACAAAACAAAACAAAACAAAATAAAAAAGAATAAAATAAAAATAAAATAAAATACTAATCATAAAAATAATCATTCATCAACATCGCGCGGGTGGGCTTCCTGGTATTTTTCAATGTCCTGGTCGGTCACGCCTGGAACAGGGTCGTATCTAGTTAAGGGAGCCAGTGGAATGCCATGCTCTTTGAACTGCGCCAACTTTTGCTGGGTGAGCTTGTGGGTTTTGTTGACGCTGTAGATCTTGATGCGGTGTGCTGAGGATGTGACATGCAGGCCCCAGTTCCAGGCTGCTCGCACATTAAGTGGTTGGGTATTCAAAGAATTGTCCCAACACCTGCACACAATCTCAATCCAACCTTCTACATCGCAAGGAAGGTCGATATCCCAAGTCCTCCAAGTCCACTTGCCCTTCTTCGATAGTTTCTCTTCTGGAACAGCGTACCAATTGAAGCCCCCATCGGCTGATAGCTCCACACGTTCAGGCCACCGACCACCGCCAGAGTAAGCCCAGCCCTTGCAACGGATCTTACCACTGTGCATAATCACTTGGTTCTGCCATGGAGACATGATAGCAGAGCTGACAGGCATCTCCTGGATCTGGATTCCGTCCATGGGTCGTTGGTTATACTTCCCCATCTGTTGGTTGAAGTACAGATACTCCCTGCTTTGGACAGGTGCCATGGATGGACTCTTAATGGCCTTGATGCGATACAGCCATTTCACACTGCGGGCTCCAATATATCCCATCACGATCACTCGCAATGGGAATCCGTGGATCTTAGGAAGTGGTTCACCGTTCATTTCCCACGCAAGTATAACCTCATTGCTCTTGACTTTAGACCATGGCACGCTAACAACGTAGTTTCCAACATTAAGGTCTTTCACATATGTTTCTACCCCATAGAGTTCAAGGTGCTTGGCGTTGTTGATCAGCCCTCCACAATCTTTGATTAACCTTTTGAGGCTTATGCCTTTGTATCTCGCAGTGCCTATAGCACCCTCGGCCCACGGAGCCTGGGGAACTTCATCGCCTTGGCCAGCGTACATAGAGATCTGCTCGATCCGACGAGTTCCCGAGCATTGCATCGTAATTGTCTTCTCCATCTGTGGAAATACTGACTCTTCCATCAAATCTTTCATGGTGTATGTTTTAGGCGACTTGACAAATCCATCGAGTTTCAATTCGAATTTCCTCTCATCGATCAGGGGGATACCACCGTGGTTACGCACAAAGTGAAGTGAATTTGGAGTAATAGACTTATCTGTAACCAATCGTTTCGGTGGTTCTCCGTTGTAGGGGAATTGTAGCAGGTGCAACATTTCGGGATGTTTCTCTTTCAGAACTGTCTTCCAAGAATCATCGGCAACTCGAGTTAGCTCCCCACCTAGTGCGGTATGCCATGACTTGAAGTCATCGCCTGGTAACACGGGGTTGGTTGGAGGTATGGGTCCCCATTGAAAGTCAGGGCAGGGCGCAAAAGTTTGCGATATCAAGATTTCGTGTGCTTTGGCTTTCTTTTCAGGATAATCCTCCCATTCAACGTAGCTGGAAAGTCGAGAAATTTATTAGTCGGGTTGCTTGCAACCATACATTGTCATCTCACGGAAAACCATACCCTGTCCAACCCGGCTTTTCACGGGCAAAGAGTTTACTTCGATCACCAACAGCGCGGATAGCCTTTTCATTTTTTGTGACTGGGGCTTCCGCAGGCGGAGCGACGAAGAAAACCGATTTACCACTTTGATCAATGATGGGAAGTTTGTAGGCAGCAAGACCTTGCTCAACCTTCCACTCATCGGGGCGATTATTGATCGGTTTTGTATACTTCGTTCGAGTTTCCATAGTGGAACGCAATGGGGTAGTCATGTGGAATTGAATGGGTACTTCTTTAGAGAAGGTATCTCAAGACATGTGGTCTGTGCCGGATTTTATATCTGACAGATTACGGGGCAGACCGACACGTAGACCGACATTTAGCCCCTTGTTTTGAATTCATGCCTGGGTTGTCCAATCTAACCATTTGTGGTTATTGCCATAGTTGGCACTCATTGGATCCCTTGCCTCGAGTGTCGAAATCAAGGTTTGTATAAGGCGTCATGTGGCGAATAATGCGTTTCTAATGCATAAGAGCGGCAAAGGAATTTGAGTAGGTATTGAAGTAAACCAAAAAATCATGATCTTTACGGGTTCGTGCTTGTTACGGAGCGCTGTTGTTATCTCAAACGATGGATACGAGGTCCATTTACAAGTCAATTGTTTGTATATGACGACTTGTTGTAAAATGATACATTACTGTGTGCTTTTAATACCCACTCGACCCAGGTTGCAACTTGGAAAGGATTATAAAAAAGCGCAAATCGAGTGATTGATGTCATGACTTTTGAAGCGCACCCGGTAACTTTATTTCGACAGGCTTACCACACCACAAATTCTGTTAATAACTAGTGCAATAATACGCCTTTTCTAATCTGCCGTAAATACGTGGTAGTACTGGCCAATTGGTGATAGCCAATTGTCTGGAAGGCGGTAACGTCATTACCAACACTACGATGCGCTAAGGCTTTCGGAAGTCCGGGAAAGACAAAAATACCACATTCATGTGAGACATCGAGTAAATAATAATCTCTCTCTTTCCAATCAAGCTTTGATCTATACAGGGTACACTGAGCGGTCTAGATTTTTTCAAAAAATCGTAAAATTACCCGATGAATGCTTGGCGTGCATAGCAAGCAGTTAGTACATCTGGTGTGAGCATCTGGTTGAACATTCACCCGAATGGTCATAGAGCGTGACTTTATTCTCTTAACACGCCCCGATACCCTTTTCAATTGAACAGATTCTTCGACATGGATTGAGTCGCTGTAATACCAACATTGATGACATTTTGTCACGAGAGCAGAATGGCTTGTAGAAATGATGGGGCGAAATCGGGTGGGAGCACCCACACATACCCCTTACCGAATCATCTGCATCTACACGGCCATGACCGCTCAATCCATAACTAATCCTCTGCAGTCATGGTTCAGCAATCTCTTCTCTCCAGTCCCGATTTGGCACTTCGCAACACTTTTCGTGGTTCGACGCTCAGCAATGCAACTAGTCCTAATTAAGCGTAATCGAGACAACCAATTAGTTACCTTTTGGTCTAACTAAAAGGGGAGGCTTATGGGCATTTACTGTTAGGTAGGCACGGCGGTCTGTATTTACCTCGCAGTAGGGGGGGTTGGCAGAGCGTCGAAGTCAAATTTGTACGGTCTGAGCGCTCGCATGTCACCATTTAAGGCACCAACATGCAAGTTCGTGGCCCTACTCAGCCAGGCTTCCGGGGATCTAGCATATGATACAGATCTTTCGTAGAGTAAAAGTCCCGGTAGCAATATGTACAAATCCCCCAAGGCTCATGCATCTGACATCGTTCCACTGGTACGACCAAGCACTACATTATCATCCAATCATATAAATTGGGTTTATTGGTGACCTCGCGCAGTCAAGAGAGATCAGGAACGTGTTTAGTTTGGCCGTAACGGGTCACCTGTCGCTGCGGTCTTAGACCGTGGCGTCAGATAAGGCCCAAATGACCCGGGCCAAACTAGGATGGTGGAGGGGACGGTGGAGAAAGCAGTAGAGACAGTGGAGCCGGCGAGCCTGTCTGGAACTGGTGATTGAGCTTGTATAAGATGGAGGCGTTCGTCGTGAAATATACTCTGAATGCCTCTGAGGTCCATCTCCCAAGCACCTGAATCTGATCATCAAGGATCCCGCTATCGTGCGCATGTTGAGCCGCACCTTTCCGAAAGCTGTGGCCTGAGTAGCCGTCCGTGTGTAACTCGAGTGCCTTTAGCTTAGTGGATAAGGTAGATAGGAAGTTGTTGCGACTGAATGGCTTTCTGTGGAATGAGAATAACGGGGCATCGGACGCTTTAGGATCGAGAAGCAGTAGCGTCTGGAGTGCGTTTACCGGGCAAGCTCCGTCTCCTGTTTTTGCAAGAATGATCTGTGCTCCTTCGTGGCGACGATCCGTCTTACTCCGCTTGAGTGTAAGCTGTGCATGGTCTAACGAGGACGAGAATCGGACATCGGAGCGTGTTAGCTTTGTGGCTAAGAAGATAGGGCGAGGTCTTCTGTTTTATATGTAAATTCTCCAAGGCGGAGGAACCCAGCAAATGCTACCCGACAGGCTGTTGCAAAGTTGAGGTCGTCCAGGAGGTTTGCAGTCATCTCTACAGGATGAGACGGGAATGTACAAAGGCTTGCGGAAAGCTTCGTAATAGTATCACGCGAAATTGGTTTTCTAACCCGGACCTTTGTGATAGGGTTCAATCTTCTTGCGCCGTCTATAAGACGTCGAAAGTGTTTATTATCGAAGAGTTTATCGTCAAGTAAGTTGTCAATATGGTAGGCTCGGAGGGCGGCTAGGTCGGTGAGTGCGGTATCAGGCTTGACGGCCTTTTGGTTTGAATTCCCAAGGAGTCGTGAAGTTAGCCAGGAGGTTAACGACTGTGTTGAGACTGGCCACGGTGGCAAGTTCTGGAGCGCGCAGTGCTTTTCGTAACTGCGTTGAACAGAGAGGTAGACGGAACGCGTATTGGCGCTGAGACCACTCCAGAGAAGTTTTAGGTGGCCTGCATTGAGCTGAGGAGCTCGTGAAGCGAACCACGTGGGCGGTTCAACACTGAGAGGTCCTGCCAGTGAGGACAAATATTAGCAACATCTTGAAAATTGTTACGGGAGAGGGCATCTGCTAGTGTGTTATCCCTGGAAGGGAGCCAGTGTGGCACGATTTGGATGTCTCTCGCCGCCGCTAGGATGAGAAGGCTTTTCAAAGGTACGTTAGGCGGACCATGAAGAAAGCCTTTACTTAGTCCTGTGTGGGCTGTGGAGCTATCCGTGTGGATAACGAGAGTATGATGAAGCCAATGGTGGCTGAAGAGTAGGAATCCTTGGAGGATAGCGTCTACTTCGGTGGTATTGATGTGCGCGTGTGCGACTTGGTGCGCGTGTGCGGCTTGAGCAAGGGCCAGTGAGGCAGCATTGCTTGGATGAAGCTGGTGACAATGGGCCAGCCAGCAGTCTGATATAGACTTAGATGAGAAGAAGAAGAGCCCCTGGCCTGTGTTGGAGGCATCTGTATAGAGATGGGTAAAAGGGCGGCGGCAGGGGTCTATCAGGAGTACGCCGTTGAAAAGAGATAAGGAGTCCCTCCACCATTCCAAATCGTCACGTACCTCGTAGGAGATACGGCGGCGCGTGCTCCTCCCATGTGGGAAGGCAGCTTGGAACGTGTATAGAGACTGTAGCCTTGTTCTCCCAAGCCGGACAACTCTTGAACAGAAGGCTAATAAACCTGTAAGACTCTCTGTTTGCTTCAGGGAGAGACTCGCTGCGTTCAGGGCAGCTGCGGCGTCCAATGTGGCGCGGCACAACTTATCTGGTGGCAGGCGAGCCTCCATTGAAATAGAGTCGATCTGGATACCTAGGACTATAACATCTGTCCCTTGTCGGTCCTTGTTTGTATTGCGAGGGATACATAGGTAGTCAGTGACTCTGTTGTAAACCATATCAAAGGAACCCGTAGGGTCGGACACTGAGGAAGACTGAGTAATTACAATAAAGTCGTCTAGGTAATGATTGATATAAAATGTAGGAAGGAGGCATTGCAGTATCCAATGGAGAGCCTCCGCAAAGAGGTTGAAGAGGAATGGGGCTGTAGCAAGGCCAAAGGGGAGACAGCATTCGACGTAAGTAGAATTGTTCCACTGGAAGGCAAGGAGATGCTGGTTATCTTCAGCAACAGGGACTATTCGAAAGGCGTCCTTGATATCCCTTTTAATGATTATACAACCTAGGCCAGCCTGTGTGACCTGTTTGTAGATATCATCGATTGTCATATATTTGATAGCTGACCAGGATTCTGGTATATCCTGGTTAATACCCTGTCCAGGGGGCCAGGATAGATCATGGATGCGGCGATATCCCCCATCGTGCTTAGGGACTAATCCCAGCGGCGAGACGAAGGAGGGGCTAGACGCTAGTCTTACACGACCAAGATTGAGGTCCTCTGCTAGTTTAGCCGAGATCGTGCTAGGTTCATGTATTTGATGGTTTGTCGAATGGCAAGATTGTTTGCTACCTCTGTAGCCGATCTGGGCGCCATGGGTCAGAATGCCGGTGATAGTATACCCGAGATCGCCTGGATAGTGGCGCAGGAGGTTGCCCCAGCCTTTTGTATACAGTGGTGACGGAGAGAGCTGTAGTTTTGGGAGCTCTGGGTTGAAAACGGGATATTGGGTAGCAGTATTTGGCCTAGGCGATTGGCCTTGGGGTATCAGGCTGAGTGGTGCAGTGTTGCAGCTCCTATCGGCTTCTGTAATGTGTTCCTTAGCAGTAGGGTCTACTTGCTATGTCTTCTTGCGGCAAGAGGAGGCACCATGCTCGCTCAAACCACATGTTGTGCACTCATGGCGTCTCCTACATCCTTCCCAGAGACATCCTGTAGTATTGAACTTATCGCACACCTCGATCTCATTATTTGAAGACCTAGTAGATCTTATTTGGCGAGGTCTGGCTGAAGGGTTTGCAGGGGTCCTCGCAGGTATAGTAAGATTATGACGGAGATATTTCTCACGAAATGGGGCTGTGACAAGGTTGTTCTCGGTTGACAGCTCTCCTTTATCCAGGATATATTGATGGAAGTTAAGGGCAAGCGGCAGTACAGCTTCTGACCACTGATAAGTTTGAGCGAAGTCCAGGATCTGCCTCATGAACATAAGGAGGTTGGGAACTGCCTTTGGATGTTTCTCACTGAAGAGATATCCTATTACAGCCGAGTATGTAAGGAAGTAGCTCGTCCATATTTGAGGGTTAGGGCCCCAGTCTTTAAGCGATGTCGCTGTCTTCTTGAAGCCAACTGTGCCTCCTGACTCGGTTATCTTGAAGACTCTGTCCTCCTGATCTAGCTCGGTGACTGACTTCTCTTTGAAGCGTATAAGTTCAGTTGCCTTCAACTTCCTCTCGAAAACGCGAGTAAGAAGGGCGGCGGAGACACCCGGAAATATGTCGATCAGTGGTTTGACTTCAGGGGGTGGCTCACGGTTTTCCTCAAGGTTATCATCATCTTGCAGGTCCACACGAGGCCTTCTGCGGCGAAGGTCGGTTTCCGCTTCGTCCATTTCAAGGCGCCTGGCCCTGTCTCTCTGTATCTGTCCTAGCCAGGTGGCACGGTCTGTTGCACCCATAGTTTCCCATATGTGGGCCGGGGGCCAAGCTGAGTCAAGTGGGGCAGGCGTTACGCTGCTGGACTGGCTGAACGTCATAGTGAGGAGCGATGTAGTCAAGGCCTATCGGTACTATTGCCGTAGAGAACGGATGGAAAACAAATCGAGACTTGACTGGGGTGAGAGATGACGAGATAGCTACAGAGACAAGCAACCACCTCGCAGGGTAGTTGTAGGGGGGGGAAAAACCCTCAGTAATGTCGGTGTAGATATCACGTGAGGCAACCCCAATAAAACTACTCCCTTTATCGACTCGTATATAGTAGCTTTCCATTTGACGAGTTAATACGCACCGTGAACTCTACCTGCTGGATGTCTCGACATGCTTTCTGAAGAGTTGTGCCACACGCAGGCTGTGATTGGCTAGATAGTATTACTACATCGAGCAGTTGATCAAAGCTAGAGATGTTATACAGCTCTGGAACGCTATGATCTGGGCCATCGGTAAATATGGCTATGTAATCAATACGAGGCTGCAATGGGATTATCCTCGTACTCGGCTACCAAAGTGGTGTTGAATCGTCACACGTTCAATGCCAGTGCATGGTGTGGCACGATGTGGACAATCATGCAGATGGTTCCGTAGATATACCTGTAATAAGGGTGTCGAAGTCATTGAGGCGTGTCCAGAGGGAACAAGAAAATGATAGAAGATGATTTCGGTGATGGTGCTGAAGGGTCAAGAGAAACGAACTAGTCCTATGTCTAGAGAGAAGTCCGTCGCTGCTTCCTCAACAACACTGATGATTGGGAAATACTAGTAGGGCTACGCTTCCGTCCTATGTGAGAGTAAAGGAGTTACTAGTCATATCCATTGCGTTACCATTTCCCAGTCTACTAGATCCGATTTGTTATTTCTCATTATTCAGAACCCAATCACGATCAAATCAAACCGATCCCTCCAGTCAGATTACTTTCCAGAGACAGGACCACTTATGGTCTACGTGACTATAGCCAGTGCATACTTGCTTATTCGCGTAGACTAGCTCAACCCTGCCAAATTCTACGCAGCCTTGATCGCGGCTTCTGTGTGCTGCTGCAATCTGGACCCGAGGTCCTTGTTGACACGTCCGAAGAGGCCTAGTGTCGGTGTCAGCCTCCTTTTCTAGCAGACGGAATCGCCGAAGATACTCGGCTAGGGCTACTAGGGAAACTTACTGTAGACAGCCTTTCGCAATTCAGGGTACCTGACACCCTTTATATTGCCGGAGAGGTTCTCAATGACTCTATCCTGGTGACCAGGCTGGCGGCCAATAACTTCCCACAACGCTGAGGGTTGAATGAAATCATCGTCAGTGATCTCGCTGGTATAGGCGGAGACCTCTCCCGCCCACTTTTCGTGTTCGGTGTGTAGGGCCAGTGCAGAAGCGCTAATTCCATTCTCGTCTTGATAGAACTTTGTTGGTTTGATTGAGGAGCCAACGTAGTTGGGGTCACCGCCGTAGTTATCATCAAATCGCATGGCTCCGTCACGCTGGAAGGGGCAGTAGACTTGCACCTTTGCGGCGTTTGTGGGGAGTTGCTGGTAGTTGACGCCGAGGCGGTAGCGGGCTGCATCTTGGTACGCAAAAAGTCGTGCTTGCAGCACTTGGGACAGTTAGTCATGGCTTATCGTAAGGCTAAGTGTCTGGCTTTCCAGCTTACCTGGATCTGCGGACGCAGCAATTCCGGGAACCATTGTCGAGGGCGAGAACGCAGCTTGCTCGATATCGGCGAAGTAGTTTCGCGGCTGTTTCCATCTCAGTGACTGCAATACATGGAGAACGAAAGAAGACTTACATTGCGGTTCATGGTAAGACGACCGATCTGCTGCAGAGGGAAGTCCTTATGAGACCAAACCTTAGTCATGTCGAAGATATTCCACTTATACTTCTCAGCCTCTTCGGGGCTCATCAGTTGGACATAGACGTTCCAGACAGGATAGTCGTTCCTTTCGATAGCCTCGAACATATCGCGAATCATAAAGTCAGGGTCCTCTCCAGCGATCCTGGTAGCTTCTTGGGTAGAGAGGTTCTCAATCCCTTGCTTCGTTTTGATGTGGATTTTAGCGTATTTGAACGAGCCGTCCTAAGTATGGCATTAGTGAAATGTGTAGTATCTGTTAATAGTCGTTGCGTACGGGTTTAGTAAACTTGTATGTATGTCCACTGTATGAGTTCATGTAGCGGACTGACTTCGGAGTCCCGCGGTCACTAAACAGAACCAGAAGTTGATGGATACCCTCAGGGTTGCCCACGTGGAAACTATAGGGTTAGTCTGATTCAGCCATTGGAGCTCGAGAATTTCACCTACTCCCAGAACTGCTATACTGATTAGTTTTCTGATCCCACATCACCGGTAAAAAGAAATTAGAGACATACCATATTAGCGTCGGGGAGATGAGTTTGAGGGTGTCGCTTGTGAGAGCGGTTCATAGAAGGGAACTTGATTGGATCGCGAATGAAGAAGACAGGCTAAATCGACGAATATCAGACACAAAAGGAGAGAAAGAAAAGTACAAATAATGCACCACATACCGTGTTGTTAAAAACGAAATCTTGGTTTCCCTCGTCGGTATAGAACTTCATGGCCCATCCGTGCACATCGCGGGAAGTATCAGCAGATCCGGACTCCGGCCCGACCGTTGACACGCGCTGAAGCACGGGCGTCTTCTTTCCGACCTTGTTGAGGAAGCTGGCGCTGGTAAAGTCGGAACAGTCGCGGGTGGCTTCGAATTCTCCGTAGGATCTACAACTGTCAACCAGATAATTCCTCCAGGAGGTGTTGATGGCTTACCCGACAGCTTTGGCGTGAACGACTCTATTTAAGATATAGCGTCAGTGTACTGTAGAATCTTGGAACTGAGGGGTCACTTGAGAAATTTAACTTACCGCTCTGGGATTCTTTCGCGGGAGAAGTGAGCAAGGGTCTCAATGAGCTGGGTATCCTGAAGCAATCCTAGGCCGCCGCCCTGTCTGCCCCGCATCAGAACAGCCGTCTTGCTGTTTGCGAAGGGACAGCCTACAAGAGTCAGTCGAAAGCAGAAACCCAAAGTGGAGAGGTGCTGTACCTTCGGCAAGAGTGTAGTATCTATCGTCGCCCATATTGAATAATAATTGATTTGATGGAAATATGTCAGATACAGAAAAAGTGAATGTATGCGACAAAGTCAGAGCTCGCTCGAGGAACGCAACTTAATATATTCTCCAGTCCGGAAACAGCTCAACGTCGTGGTGCCCGCCTTTGGATGGCATTTGCACTGGGTCTTAGTATTACAATTACACTCATTCGGGCCCAGTGCTCCACCGCAAAAGGTCTACCGAGTATAAACTCCTCACCATTGTCACACCATCATCACCATGGTCATGTATTGATCCTATGCACGAGATGACGCAGTGGTGCGCGTGGTAACCAAGCTCACCAAAGTCAATCGGAGCTTTGTGAGAAAATGACAGCATCGTCGATGTAAGAGAGTTCGAACCAGATCAACTCGGTCCCCACTCAAAAAGCAGCTCTGTGATTAGACCGATGCCACTACCAGAATCTGGTCAGTGCAGCTGCGCCGGAATCTGGACCCCACTGCCGAAAGCTTGAAATGCTCCATCACTACAAAGTACGGATACAGTATTTTGTCGAACTGAGAGTGTGGTTAAATACCAATAATACCGTTCGGATGTAATTTTTCAACTATTATAGTGCAGTCATTCTCGAAATCGCCTTGACTAGAGGAGACTGAGATTCTCTTTTCTCGGTCCAACAGCCAATGCTTTAGCGCGGATCATTAATTGTGCGGTTCACACTAAGTTGAGGGCCGTTGTGCAATGCAGCCTGTATGGTATTGTACCTGCCCCTCATAAAGATGCGCACAGCGCCTAGAATGTGAGGTAAACGACGATAATTACTGTACTAGATAAGGTTCATATTACAGCAGTGGGTGGCCGGTCCAATTCGTTATTTGGCCTAGGGTCTTGGCAGTGGGGCCAGGAAAGAGTTTCTCTGTGTGTAGTGGTCAAGGCGATTGCGAAAATCACTGTACTCGATAAATGCTTAATTTGGATCGATTCGTTCTCTCAGTGCTAATCTTGAAAGTAAACTATCAACTAGTAATCAATTTGAGGTTGTGTGTAATTAGAAAATGCCGAGGTCGATGTTACTCATGTATTTGATAAACCATTTTTCTCGGGACATTTCACGCTGCAATCGTCTTAATCGCTGGGGCCGTCGAAGCGTCCGATCCTCGATGGATACCGGCGACTGCACTTTTGGGTACGAATCGTAGGCCAAATATGACCATACTCAGGATTAACAGCCCAACAAGAACGCCCAAAGTCACCAGTGCACCGATGACGCCTGCCACTCCTAAACTCATCCCTCTGCCCGAACAAGAACCGACCGAGGAAGCAGACGAGGAACCATCGCCAGCACCAGAGCTTGAGGCGCAGATTCCAGTGCTATTTCCACAGGCATCACACCATTGCTGCTGCGATGTAATGGCAAACTCATTTGTCTTGTCCACAAATTGCGACCAAGGGAGTTCGATCGTAGATTGTCCAAAAAGTGGATAAGCTAGCAGCTTTGCTGAGTCCCCTATATCACTTCCGTTGTGGAAAACGAAACGAACTCTAATGTCCGACGTGGGGGGCATACCAGTTCCCTCGTCGTTTGTCACAAGCTCCCATGCCATGGATGAAGCATAGCTAGGGATTCCGGTAAAGTTCGCATTGGCGGATGAGAGCCCGGCAAGGCCAAAGTAGGACAGGAAAGAGGCGTATGCACCAAACTGGACGTTCAGCTTGGATTCCCCGCCAGATGTAATTGTTTCGTTCAAGGCTGTCAGAACTTCGCCTGCCAAAGTCATACCTGCAACAGCACGGATGGGGTCTGAAATATTGTACGCCAGGTTGAACTCGTGCTCATTCCCAAGAACAAGTAGCTCTTGCATGACCGTGTCGGTAAGAGCGGCGGATGAGGGGAAGCTCGCAGTGGAGTTATGGATCAAAGCCACGTAGAGCAAATCCCATATGGTGTATGCATTCTTGTAACTCAACTCACTAGGGTTGAATGTCTGATTCACTAGCGGCTCAAGAGACTGGTAGAGTCCGCGCGTGGTTGACAGTAGATCGTGGTAGGATTTCGAATTCAAGTAGTTATTACTGCTGAATTTGGCCTTGCTACAGGAAGAGGTGCTCTGCAGCCACGTGTTGTCCTCACTACCACTGCCAGATCGCACATCTGACATAGGAATCAGCTGGTAGCCGTTCAAGGGGGACTGGATGGTTGATCCATTGCGAAGAGTATCCGTGGCAATAGAGCCAACAGGGGGGGTAGAGGCCTTGCAGGAATCCTTCTCCGGAGTTGTCAATCACATCATCTTGAGGCGCACTCGCGGTGACCTGGGCCAAGTTAACGATGTCGGTACTGATTCCATCGATCTGATAGGAAGAGTTATCCGAGATATAGCGGTCATGGAAAAAGGACCCAGTCCTATACTCCTGACTATACCCGAGACTGGTCAACTTGGTTGGTGGCCAGGCTTTAGCGGTGCGATCCCCATGCCGCTGGAAAATATATACCCCCAGGACCCGTTCCGCGTTGACAAGGTCTGCAAGTAGCAGGGATGCCACAACGGTGAGTGTGCTGATGAAAGACATGGTTGACAACATTCACTCTCGCTGGTTACTGATCGAAGGCGTATTTCACGCAGCATACTATCGCAGCGGGCGTCTCGAGTTTATGAATCACCGGTCTCATGCGGGGTAATGCTGAACCCACTGCTCGATGCAGCTAGAAGTAAGTTTCACCGCTAGTCGGATGGCGGCGGAGACTTTCACTTCGGACGTCAAGGGTCTGGCCGAGGGCCCTCATTTCTATTCAAGGCGACTCTCCTATCAGTTTTTTATAGGGATTTCTATAAAAATGATACCATCACCCCGACCAGAAGTAGGATGTGTGTCAGGTAGGTTTATAGACAAAAATGGATTCCTGAAGCGAGCGAGATCCAGGTGTAGTCTCAGTCTGTTCAGAGTCCAGATATAGAAGTTCCCTAGATCCTATTTCCCGCTCAGTAAAAGTTGAACTACTCAGGCTCCAAAAATCAGCAGGGATCGGAGAAATTGACCCCGCTCTCGCTCGGGCCCACCAAAAGAGAACAAACTAGACTTACCTGCAGTAGAGGTAGTAGTAGTATCTAGTATACTGGACCAGCGTAAGCTGGATTCTTCGGATTGTGATTGGGTTTCCATTGCCGATGTTACCATCATCTGCACCTCGTAACTTGGATCTCTCGCGGTCAGGACATACTATTTCTTGCACGGAATATGATTCACTCAATAGTTCCGCCCTAGCCGCCAAAAGAATTCCAGCACAAGTGTTCGTTACGACGAGTTACAAGCATTAGGTTTACCCAAAGGGTATTTATGGTGCAGAATGTATGGTAGACTGACATGAAGGGCAAGGTCGGAAATAAGGATTGTTTCACTTCTGACCACAACATATCACTTATTCACATTACGATGGGATCGGCTGGTCGAAGACCGGGAAAATGGCTCTGATAGAAAATGTTTACTAGCATGGTACTCGGAAATCAGCACGGGTTATCGCAGAACAGTACCATGCACTCGAAACAAGATTTGATAATTATAGAAGACATAATCTCGCAAATTGAAATTCGTATTGTCCATCCAGATGCATGGAAGATAAACAGGACGTAAATCATTCAATTCATAACAAAAAATTCACATTTACCCACCAATCAGAATCATGGGACGGTTCTTTATATTCTTCAGTTCATCCATGCCGGCATGTTTCGCCTTCTTGCGCTTCACGGCCATACCGATGACATCCAGAATCTCGCGCTCGCGTTCATTGACCGGTTCCCCACTGTCGTCAAGTCGCGTCGCAGTCTGCATACTCTCTAGAAAGCCCAGGCTTTTCAAGGCCTCATCGTCGATAGGCTGCCCGTAACTCTCCTTGCGGATGATATCCCGCAGCGACACCTCCGAGGTGCCGAAGAGACACACCTTTAAGTTGCCGTCACTGGTAATGCGGAGTCGATTGCAGGTGCCGCAGAAATTGTGTGTCATGCTCGTAATAAATCCAATGCGGCCCTCAAATCCAGGAACATGATATGTCTTGCTAGTATCATTTTTATGATCGGCAATCTTCACCAATGCCGGATATTCTTGTCGAATAACTGCGAGCATCTCCTGGTACGAGAACATCTTTCCCTGGTTCCACTTATTCCCGTCAAATGGCATATATTCAATAAAGCGGATCTCGAGGGGCATCTCACGAGTCATTTCGACAAATGGGATGATCTCACGATCATTCAATCCGCGCATTACAACGCAGTTTATCTTCAGCTTGATGCCGGCGCCGGCCCGGTTCATTTCCAATATGCGATCAATACTCTTCATCACCGCCTCGAACCCGCTCCGGCGGGTCATGATCTGGAACTGGAATGGATCCAAAGTATCCAGGCTCAGATTTACACCTGTCAGGCCTGCTTCTACCATCTGGTCCAGCTTCCGGTGTAGTGAGACCCCGTTTGTGGTCAAACAGAGCTCGCGAAGCCCATTTTGCCGGAGCTGGCCAATTCCTTGCATCAACGGTACAATGTCCCTCCGGACGGTTGGCTCCCCACCCGTCAGACGGATCTTTGTGACGCCCTGGGAGACAAAGAGTGATGACAGGTAAAGTATTTCCGGCGTGGTCAACAGCTGGGGTGGTGGTGACAGCTCGATGCCTTCCTCGGGCATGCAGTACAAACATCGCAGGTTGCACCGTTCCGTGACGCTGATCCGGAGGTAATCATGCTGGCGATGAAATCGGTCCGTGAGAAAGTCCGAGAACGGCTTGGCCGTCGGTTCGTTTAATGATCGCGGAGGCCGAGATGTCTATCAAGAGGACCTGGTCAGATTATGTGACTGCCATAACTATACGAACGGGACGCACTGAGGGCATCCCACTTGAAGTCTGTAAACACCGTCGCCCTCCCTCCACGACTCGGGAAAAGCGTTGGAGGCGAACGTTCGGAGCGAGCACGCGAAGACAGGCTGTCCACTTTTTGAATTGTTGCTGGGCCATGATACACTGCTATCATGTTCTAGGGAAGTGAACTCGCTAGTCGAAGCGGAAGTCACTTCAGGTGGCCTTGGGCGAGGTCTGAGCACAACCCCATCATACACACCTTTCCCCGGTCGGACCTCTAGGTGACGCCACTTTCCTAATCATGTTTCCCGGGGAGCCTACAGAATAATTGGCCACAACACACCGCCTTATCGGGACCGATCCCAAAGTATTAGTGACTAATCCATTGAGATGGGTCAGTCCCCGATCGGTCGGCCCCCACACCCGGCCCCATCTTTCGTGGACACCGCAAATTTTCAAGGCTGTAGCATGATGCAATCACTCTGCTCTTGCTCTTCGACTCCATCAATCTTTCAACGGAAGAAACCCTCTCTGGATAGGACAAGAAGTCTTAACTCTCGACATTGATCAAATGAACTTGATCGATTGGGTACCATGAGAATGAAAGATACGAGCCAAAACCGAGGTACCTCCTGATGTATCTCGCACCAAACGGAGAGAATAAGGTTCACTTTGTACCGACAATTGCCGTTTATCATCAAGCTTTCCGCTATAACAGTTCTATCCCAGTTCGGCCGAAGTCGTGAGGTCATTTCATACCTCATCATCATGCCGAGGCCCACGGAATCACCTCAACTAAATGCGGTCTGAACCCTACTTCCACATTGAGTTTGGAAGCACGCAAAGACGTCGAAGCATGTCTTCTCAATCTGCTTTAGATTCTCGCAAACAACGAGAAGTAGGTATCAATAGATGATGAATCGACGCCAGATTCACGTTTGTCGACCATGCACGAACATTAGCGCGGCACATGCAGCCATATTAAGTTGACTATGAGGCTTTAGATCTATTATTAAGTCGTTATTTAGGTAGAAAATAAATGAGCGTATCGGAGAGACATTACGAGAGTAGAATCCCGGAGTAATCCCCTTGTTTACCTGTTAACTCGTAGGCGCATATCATGTTCAAAAACAAGGTAGCAAATGAAAATAAACACCGTCCTCAGTTACTGAAGAATAGAATCACATCAAACCTCCATAGGTCTGGCCCTCTTGCTCGAGCTGTTCATCCTCTTTAAGATATTGCTTGAAGCCGGCCTCGTCCTTCTTCAAATCGGAACGTATGCCACCTTCGCCGCCTTGCAGCTTATCCTTGGAATCCTGCTCCTCGTGTCCATGCTTATGATGGTGGTCGAAAATCTTCTTGAAAAGGCCCTCCTTATGCTCGGCGGGCTGCTGGGTGTCTAGTCTCATTGTAATTCTTTGGTTAGCAATGTAATTGGAAGAAAATGGAAGCAAGCAACAGTGGAAGTTCGTACCTTGAGGCATTTTGATGGAATGAAGCCTGAGGACAGATTTTTATAGGGTGTGGCCTATTGCTGTCTTCGGAATAAAGATAGTTATTCTTGGAGTAAAACAGGTTTGCTAGATAATTCTGAATAGATGCTCATCCTCCATCCTATATACTGTACCCCTAAACCCTACAATATACCACGTATGAAACTGTGGGGATGATTCAATGACGCAAGGAGTCAACGATCAGCTTTCCTGATCCGGTAATAGTATTAGCCAATAAGAGCCATTTATGTAGAATATTAACCGTGTCACTGGGATTCTAGGTCCACTGAGGAGTGTCCAAGCTCGTCAGGGCGCGGGCTCGGAGCTCGGTCCTACAACACTGGCAAACTTCGAAACACATCATGTATGATTGGATAATCAGGCTTCTCCTTTCACCTCACTCATTGCTGTTCGCCAGGTCTCGTGTACAGCTCCATTGCTGATCATTGCTCGTAATTCTCTCTTCATTGGACTCAGAACACCGTCAACGGTTTTCTCATCCTCGTACGGCGTATACAACCGTCGCGACTCGTCGGCATTTGGAGGTTCAGAACGGCCAGTACTACTCGTCCTTGAAGCTATCCCACAAAATAACCAAACAATGAGTAGCATAATGACCGAATGCACTCAGCCCGCGACAGCCCCCCTCACGCGACACGCAACCTTTCTCGTCTTGACCGTCACATCTCCCTCCGCAATCCCAACCATACGCTCAACGCTTGCCAGCGTCCCCAGCATCTCCAAAAATGTCTCCTTCCGCGATGCAGATGCCAAATTCACCTGTACTGTCGGTATAGGTGCCTCTATCTGGGACGCTTTAACCAGCAACCTTCCGCGTCCTAAAGAATTACATCCCTTCCGCGAAGTCAAGGGCGCCAAATACTCGGCAATCTCAACACCAGGCGACCTCCTCTTCCATATCCGCTCCGAACGTCGCGATCTATGCTTCGAGTTCGAGCGGCAGCTCATGGATAGCCTCGGCGATGCGGTGCATCTCGAAGATGAGACCATTGGATTCCGCTACTTTGATACGCGCGATCTCCTCGGTTTCGTTGATGGTACTGCGAACCCTGTGGGGCCAAGTGTGCCACTGTCGGTCCTCGTTGCTGCTGAAGATGACCATCCGCATGCGCAAGGGGGCAGCTATGTAGTTATTCAGAAATACGTTCATGATATGGCTGGGTGGAAAAGCCTCGAGTCCGAACAACAAGAGCAGATCATCGGGCGCACAAAGCCCGATAACATGGAGCTCGATGACGTCGAAGACGGGAAGCAGGCGTCCCACAAGACACTCAGCACGATTGAAGATGAGGACGGCAATGAACACGATATTCTGCGTGATAACATGCCGTTTGGATCGCCTGCATCTGGTGAGTATGGTACTTACTTCATTGGGTATACGCGGAGGCTGTGGGTTATTGAGAAGATGATCGAGCGAATGTTTGTGGGGCATCCCTCTGGACTACATGATCGCTTACTAGATTATTCGCGACCGTTGACTGGCTGTGTTTTCTTTGCGCCTTCGGCGGATGTTCTGGATGGCCTTGGAGGGTGATACAAATCATATAAGACGCCTTATGCCACTTTCGGATCTTTTTAATTTACATGAACCGCTTCACGAAATGGTCGACTAATAAGAGGAAAATTCAGATTCCATATGTCCCCTGGGAACCTAAATTGTCCGCCTCATTTTGATCTGTCCTGCTCACGTATGGATCTTGCCACGGACTAGACGCTCTCGTCACAGGCTCGCGGGCTTAAGGGTTGGGGTTTATAGTCTTATATGTCGTCAGATTTCTTTTCTTCAATCGAACATCGGGCTGAACCGATTCCGCTTGACCCGATTTGACCTGAATTAATGGTTTATGTATGCTTTAATCTGGTTGTGAAGTAAGTTCGTGAGTGCAGTTACGCTGTAGGTGATTTCGTTTTTCTTTCTTTCTTTCTTTCTTTCTTTCTGCTTATTTTTAGTCTTTTCATTCCAATAAATGTATAGCGGTGCCCAAATATCAGGCCGACCTACTGGTTACGGAAACACCAACTCAGACGATAAAAGCAAGCAAGAGCATTGGCGCCTAGTATCAACAACATTTAGTTCTCGACTCAAAGTTACAGCCAAATGATTCCCAAAAGATGCTTAGGGTTCGTTGCCCAGCTACATACACTTTTATGCCACATTACTGGTGAATCCAGACCCCCCAACCGCTAAGTTAGCTCAGCACAAGCGCAATTCCAAGAACGGTCATTGGCTACCATCAAGAGCACAGGTAACTTTAGAATGGGAAGGGAATTCCCCAATATTATAGTGGAGGGGATGCACTCCCAGTCACTAAAGTTCGGCGACGGCTTCAGAAAATGATCTGAGAATGGCCAACGAAAAACTCGAAAGGGCCATGAGGATGAGACCCCAGAATATGAAGGGAAAAGTGATGATCGTTTGATGTGACCTAAAAACCGCCCTAGCTACTTAGCCATATTTAAATACGGCTCTATAGGGTTTTATTTGCGCATGCTAATGTTATGGTTATTATACGATGTATGTAAGTGCTTTTTCCGGTCGCAAGACATAAAAAGAACGACGCTTGCAAAAAGATACGCCTCTCCGTTTTTGGTCAATTGCTAGACCAAATGAACAAAGTATGAGGTTCAAAGTATATATATTTACATATCTACATGAATATGTATGGGAGACCGCTTTTTTTAATGCCCACGCAAAGAAGACAATAGCGAATCGGGTGTCCATTCATCGTCAATCAAAAATTTCCCAGTTTCTCCCGAAGACTTGAAGAGGTTCAAAAGGCATTTTTCCACTCCTTGACGCGCTTCCAAACTTAGCATCCCTATAATGTTCACCATTTCCACGACATAATTAACTCTGAGTCTCCCTTTGTCATATAGTCCTATTAGGGTTTGATATAAAATAGATTTCAGGTTGGAAGTAGAATAACTCCATGCTTCTTCAGACTCCTTTAAAGCCCTGTCCATCAACTGCAGCGTCCTCAATGCGCGAGGCATGTGAGGTGTTTCTGCGTATGAAAGCGACATGGAATCCTGCAAGATGATACCGATGGAAAGGAGACATGCTAGCAATTCGTATTCCACACCAGGATTATCAGGGCTAGGGCGCGAAGTTTCAACATGAAGCCAATAACTGTCATGTAAAAAGCTGATCGCGCGATGAAGTGAGGGAAAATGAAATAACCCAACATCGTTGGAATATCCCATAAATGTTCTCATGTCCTGAATGAAAGATATCAACCAAAGGCAGCGCACCTTTTGAACATCGACAAACAAGAATGCTTGGTGGACGACGGGGGATTGCGATATTTGCTCAAGGTTGTTTGTTGACTCGAGCCACGAGGGCCGTGACATTAAAGAAACCCTGAGAATAAATCAGATCAGACACTCTAGCAAAACTCAGAGATAACAAACACAACCCACAGATAGACAACAAGTTGGAGCCGCCAATTGTCACAAATTTTCCCCACGCCGCCTCGGGCCTCAATCATTCTTTGCAAGCCATCTCGGTGGATCTTCCATTCTTTATCAGTTCCCCAATATCTCTAAAGGATTCGAAATTAGACATCTTAGGCAGAGAAAGTATTGAGTGGCGTGGAATAGAATAGGTACCTCGAATGTAAGAAGGCGAATGACGGCAGCAAAAGCATCATCGTCTAGCTCTTTTTCAGAATTAGCTATCCAAGAACGCAGTATTCTTACTGCCTCCGCTTTATATTTCAAAGCATTGGATGACTTTGTACCTCGCCGTGGGGGCGACCCAACATAGAGGTGAGCTAGGTGGGCTGCAGAATGAGCCATGATGCAATTGAAAGATGAAGCATTAGATAAGTCTAGAGGAAACCAAACGTCTCTCATTGGATTGAACCCCATCGCACTTAGATCCTCGAACATCATAGCTGCATGGGTGCATATCCCTAAGATCCGGTAAGTTCGCTCAAATCCTTCTTTAGTCTGCTTCCGGACACATACAATGGTGTAAAAGTTTCTGGTGTTGACTCGTGAGATAGACGGGGCACGTTTGGAATGGATCAGGTCTCGAATTAAACAAGGCACGGCTCACACTGCTCAAAAGCTGCTCTGCAACATTGGAATCATTACCCTTGTCATCATTCGAATGATTCTGCCGCCACTTAGAGAAATCATCTGTCAAGTTGTCTTGGTGATTGGTTGTTTGTCCGTTCGGTCTATGGCGAGGAAGAATTGCCCGAGATACTTGCCTATGACCAGATTTTGTCTGCTGCTGGCGTCTATGTCGCTGTTTCCAGTACTCGCGCATAGCATGACTTCGAGCTTCGGATTGACTATTCTCCGTCACAAAAGTGAACTGGGAAGCACCGTTGAACGAACTAGAGTGGTCTAGAAAGGACATGATACCTTTTTGGTCCAAGGCCGATGGCAAGGTGAATGAGCTTTCTACGGCAAAAATTGTGGATGATGACAAATTGTGGCCCGCTGGCTAAAACGAATCGTTCTAGGTCACCTGACCTTTTAGTTCTATGGTTAGACCTCGCCAAGCGCCGGCTTGGATTGGGATTTCGATTTCTTTACTCGCCCACGGGTAACTTACCGCGGGCTTGGGCGGTGGGTGGGATTTGGCGAAGACTAAGGATGGCAGGTTCTGAGAATTGAGGAGCGAGTTGGCAAATTGACGGTTTTGACTCACCACTTTCGATGCCCTTGCCGCCTTCATTACGGTCCCTTGGTTCGGTGATCACCGTTGGTATACTCAACTGCAAGAAACCACTCTAAAAGCTTATTTATTTACTGTATCGATATCTCCTTGGTTCAAATTTGATCCGTCTCATCACTGCACTCGACATTTACCGTTCACCAGTGAACATTGAACGGCTAACATTTGAACGGCTAAGCAGTTTACTTTTCACTTTTTGCCAGTTACTCCTCATCAGTCACCGCCGTTTTCTCAAAAAATGAACCTCGCGACTGGCGCCTTTAGTAGATCTATCTATTGAGTCGTTTACCAATCTCTTCACATCCAGGAAACCAGATATTCCGAAAGAATTTGATCAAAAATGAATGACAGCAGAGTGCACTCGAGCCCAATACTACTTGGGTGACCAAGTTACAGATACATATGTATTTCATACTGTAGCACTAGTGGGGTCGAACGTAGTGCCGAGACAAAAACTAGGCGAACTTAAGCCATCCCGACGAGAGTGAATGCGGAATCTGAGGCGTGAGTCTAATAATACTACGAGATATCAAATTAGTTTAGTGAGTTATTCAGCCAATTAGGTAATTGGGTAATACACTGTAACAGATGCGGATGTCTTGGCTGTTATAGCGCCCTGGAGTATAAAATCAACCACGCGTTGACCAAAAGTTCCAAAAATACTAGATATAAAAAGGCAATAGCATACAGTATTGTCAAATTCGCCCAGAATTTATCACTGCATATACTCAGGCTAGGCTGGCTTATTTGGCCTGGACCTTGGTCTGATACCCGCCCGTCTGAGCAAGTGTACTGTAGAATGTGGGATAGATACGCCTTCCTCTTTTCTTCCACATGTTAATTTCTCGTGATCTATGAAAGAAGTCTTTTGATTCAGAGATCTAAACAAAGGCAAGATTAGTGGTAGAGATCATTTTGATGACCCTGGATAGCATCCGAACCCTTCTCTGCCACCATGTAGACTTGAGTTCTGAATGCGACAGTCCGGAATAACAGGAATAACAGAAGCGTCAATGACCCGCAGGTTACTGATGCCGTGCCTTCAGACCCGCATCTACTACACCTGAGTGGATACTCATCGAGAGCCGAGCAGTACCACAATGATGAAAAGAGGTTTGAGAGCAATACAGAACTGTTCTCTTCATCGCTTGGCCGTCATGGAGAGGCATATCCCAAGGATATTCATCCACAACAATGTCCTTGAATCCTTCACCATTCTTGAGCACATCATACGCAAACCTGATACCCTTGCGAATGGCAATAGTATCAGGGCCATCGTTTAAATAGTTCAGGTTGATGTTAGGTTTCTCCAAAGAATCCATGCTATTCAGGGTGACCTCGCCGCCCTTGGAGACAGGACGAACAAGATCCACCATAACCGTCATATAGCTTCCTATGTTTGGATGCGGGAAATGCCGGTGGAAGGCACTGCCAATTAGAGGAATGAAACCAAGTTCAAAATGTGGCTGGCCATATGGAAAGAACGGATCGAGCCCACAATTTGCTGCTTTTGCTTTAAAGTCTTCGGGTGAATTTTCGGGATACTTGTCGATGCGAGGGAAACCAATCAATCCGAGGAAAGGCGAGCTCATAGGGCCATGGTGTCCGTTGGATTAGGCGGTCAGAACTTCATTCAACAGCCGGCCCTTCTCGGAACATGGTCATCCATTGAGAAGTCATCCTTGAGACGGAAAACAAAGGGAACGCCGGGGTGACCCAAGAGATGCTGGCCCACATGGCGCGAATCAACAACCACGGGAATTTTATGCTTAGCCAGCTCAGATGCCGGCCCGATACCGCTCAGTATCAGCAGCTTATTAGTTTCAAAAACCCCCCTGAGAGACGACAACTTCGCGGGTAGCATAGAGGTTCAACTCTTGTCCAGAGCCGGTAATCACGGTAACACCCTTAGCGGTACGGCCGGCATTATCAATGATGAGCCGTTTCGAGTGAGCCTCAGGGAGTATAGTGATACTCGGCTTATCCACAACTTCCAGGACGCTTCCTGAGCGCCGAGCTTTATAGATAGTGTTGACACTATGAACTAGGCCATGCATCTCACCATAAAAGAAGTTTTCTGAGATAGGTTGACCAGTAGACTTCCAGGCTTTGGCGAGGCGGTCACGAAATCCCTTCATTTCCAGGATGAACTCAGCATGAGAAATTGGAATTAAACCGCCTGCACCAATCTTCTTAAGCTCTAGAGGATAAAGGCCAGCGTCATCGCAATAAGTCACACTCTTCCGAAGATACGGTACGAGAGGGTCACAAGTCCACTCCTTCCCACCGTATCGTTCCCACATATCACAGGTGCCCGGGTGCCCTTAGAACCAGGGACCCAAGAAAAGTAATTCAAGGACGAGCTACCACCAAGAGCCTTTCCACGGGTGTTGGGCTTCTCAATACGCTCGTAGTCATCGCGCTTCACCATGGTAGTTTTGTAAGCCCAATCATACTGGCTGTCACGAATGTCCATAGCAAGACCAGGGGTCCGAATTTCCTCACTGCCCTTGGAGTTTCCGATGCCAGCTTCGATGAGAGTTCTGGAATGGGGGCTTTCTGTAAGGCGACAAGCAATGATGTTGCCTGCTGTACCACCATCAACCACAATAAAGTCGAAGCGGGTACCGTCTTGGACAGACATAGTTGCGGAAACCTTAGGAGATGCGATTGTAGATAAGAACTGAACACAGATAAATCAGACAGCTCAAGATCGACTCAGCTTTTTATAGTGATGCTGCTTGCTCATGATGTGGAAGTCTGGAGTCATCAATTACACAATTGTATAGCAGTTAAGGAACGCCCTGGCCCTAACTGTCTAGCAAATTCACAAGTTGAATATGATACAAAGTCTGAAATGAAATGGCTCGTTATACTGTTCTGATATCGCGGTTTGCTCCAATGTGCGCGATTGGTCGAAAAGGATTTCCATTTTAGGCTCCGCATGCATTCGGAAACTATTCTCAAATGACTTGTCCGATATACGTCAATAATTTCTGGAAAGAGTTGGAATTTGTTGGGCTTAAACGATACTAGGTGAGGCTTTATTTTGAGGGCAATATATCATCGACTCACCTTCTCTAGATTTCGCCAAGGAAAGTGAAGTGCACTGAGTTTGTTTCTTTTTTTTTTGTTATAGTATGTATAATCTGATATCATAACGTGTTTTGAGATTTGGCCATTTTTGATAAAAATCTATGGCCAGTGGGGCACTCTCACTGCCCCACTATGAAGGCCAACTTCGGTAATAGTATTTGACCAATAAAATCACCTACTGTATTGCCTGATAGGTGTGGCGTGTTCAGGCTTGCCTGATTTTCAGTTGCATGTTCTCACCGCTACCCCACATAGAGGCAGGTTTGGAATTGAGAATTTGGCGGCTCCGAGGCTTGGGTAAAACGTATCTTTGGAGTGCATCTTTGAAACGATAATATTGTGATGTGGCCCCTGAAGCCCCCTGCTACGCATTCCCTCCAGCCATGGACTCGTAATATCTGCTGCATTCTCCACCCAGATAGGGGCTCTTAATGGTCAGTCCATGATGCTCTACCTCATCCTGGCCACTCCCTACTAATGGCAGGGAGCTGCTGAAGAACAAGACAGTATTACCCTGGAAACTGAATACGAGATCGGTATTTTCTATTTCGCCTAGTATGATTCAAATCTCGGCATGTTATTCCTTTTTTGAGTTGGCTAATGGATCAAAAGGACAACTTTGATTATTTGCTTTCGCTCGTCATCTTTCACTTGAAAAAAATTGATTTCCAGGGGCCTTGCAATTATAGAAGGAGTATTAACGGAAAGTAACGAGTGCGCAAATACTGTATTCTCGTCAAGAGTCTTTACTCACTCCTCTGTAACTGATAGCACAGAAGCCCTTGCACGGTCGGCTCTTTGAGTAAGAAGAACGTCATCCTTTTAACACGCCGACCGAACGCCTCATTAGATCTCTGCCTTCACGTCTGAACTGCAAATGGTCGAATCTTCCTAAAATGTCTGAACGAGCGACTTTTATGTGAGAGCCATTATCGTGACAGTCGAAGTGACTGATCTGTCATTCGTGGTTTGATTGGTGTTCCATACGTTTAGATGTCTAGTGACTAGTTACCATAGTTGTATTTGAAATCTGATTCTGTCGATCCTCAAAGCGGCTGTGAACACGCGAATATGTGCCAATATCAGGGCTGTGAAACGAGGCATTGCAGCATGGTCCATAAATAATGCTTCATCCTCCCTCTAGGTAAGCAGTAGCAGATGGGGATAGCCGCACTGAGTCGCAAAAGCATGTAAACGTAAATTCTAGCAGCCAGCCTTGAATTATTCTGAGCAATGTCCTTCCCTGATTCATACTCTAAAGGCTTGGTCGTCTCTCACTGGGAGGGCGCTGTGCCCTCATGTGTCTCAATTTACCTCAATCTATCCCAGTCATGCGTTTCTGTCTTCAATGCTCTTCAAGTATCTGTGGGGATCCCAGGATCTTATGGGCTGTTCTCAAGAATGAGGTTTTTGTCGCGATATACCATAAGACTGTTTTCGGTATTTCATTCCTGGTAAACGCCGAGGTGCGCATACCCCATGCCGCACTGGAGCTCTCTACTTAGTATGGAGGTGAAGGTGAATTTATCTTATCACTAAGACGACAAATTTCAAGGCCTCCTAGAGGAGAGGCAGAAATGAGCTGTAAAACTGCGATGATCGGTAATAGGGGCTAGCAGGAAACATACAGGGGTTTCACTTTCAGCTCATCTACTGAGCGGGCATCATGCTATAAACTACCTCTATTCAGGCATGAATCCACTTTCTTCCCCGGAGAAGCCGTCCACAAAGGAAGGGAGGAGAGAAAGGCACCTGAGCTGGAAAGTTATAGTCGAACCTGACTGGCATATCTCCTCGCAATCATTTCCAACGGCAACTTCCTCGAATACGGAGAATAGTGCAGTTTCCAGTACCCGGGAATCTTTGAAAAGGCTTGGGGAAATCTCATTTTCGCCTAACTTATCAACAAAGCTATGATGTGATTTCCAATGTTGTCGAGATCAATGCACTGGGTTTCACCTGAGACGTGGGGCACTACGAAATTTCATGGCATTGTCGATCTCCACTAACGAATAGGGAAACACTATTGACCAATTGAATTTTTACATTTCAATAAATCTCTTTTAGGTAGTACTTCCTCTTTTGGAACTGCTAGTAATTTTTTTATTTGTCTCGATACACCTTATGAAGAGTAAAACCAATTTGCCAGCAGCGTTATGATATTGAGAAGAGAACTTCCTTCGGAAAGGTTACTGGGTGCTTACATAGAAGAAATCAATCCAGAGCTAGGCGGTTTTGCCCAGTGTAAGCTTTATGCATCCATAGCTCTTACGAGACACCTTCATGAACATACGAGACAGGTCATCAGTAATACATATACACACCCGGGCTATGTCGCTAAGGTTTTCAGTCTACATTGAGAATGGCAAAAAGGGCTTTGGGAGGGTTTAAACCTATACGGTTTCAGAGGAAAGAATATCTGCACAATAGAACCTTTTCAACCTGATCGCTAATAAAAACTTTATGCACTGAACAACGATGGGCTCCCGAATTTTAGATGAAACAAATCGAAGCGAATCCCCAGACAACGATAGTCAGAAAGCGCGCAACTATTTCGAAACATTACCAGAGCCTGGTCCGCCTGAATTTGCATTTGTTAGTGGTATGGGGGATACCACTTACCGAAGCCATGCAATGAAATCCTACTGGAGGCATAAGAAGAGCGAACAGCGACGCCAAGAAGACACCGGACATACCAAACCAGCTTTGCGACCATTGTTATCCCGCAAAGTGCGAGCAGAAGACGATCGCGATGATCCAAGTCAGCCTCAATTTCAACCAACAGAAGACGCTTACTCGTATCTCCATGACTCTTCTATCTCGATTAAGGAGACAAGAGTACCTGGTATCCCCCAGCAGATATTTTCTGGGATCACCTTTGCATTATCTTCAAGTTTAGATCAGGGAGCTGATTTCGGCGGGTTTCAGATTTCAGCACATCATTACCGGTATTTTTATCATTGTAAGCCCAGATGAAGCGAATTGTACCACATCGGAATGTTCTAAACACTGACAAGCTCACCTGCTGTTCTAGGGCTCGGTATGCATGCCGAACTCATACATTCAGGACTCAAACCGCAGACCTTTTCCCCGTTCAAAGATATTTGGATACCACTCGACCTATCAAATTCCGCGTCATTCAACGGGATCTTAGCCCATGCAGCTGCTGACCTCAATGGCCGGCGAGAAGATGAGGACAAATCAGAAATCTTGAAATTTAAAACCGAAGCCATAGGTACTATCAATCTATGGCTTAGCACTTCGACAAATGCAATTAAAGATGAGGTCTTCGCCGGCGTCGTGCGGCTTCTTACCTTTGAGGTACGTTGAATCTTCCTATACATGCAGTGTCTGCCCGGCGGTAAGAAGAGTTTGATCGGTTTTGATCAAAATTCAGCAAAATGGAATTTCGAGGTCTAATATTCATGGGATACCCAGAGATGCTGGGGCACACGAGACAGGTTCTATATGCACAAACATGGACTTCGGCAAATTGCACATACCAGGGGAGGATATCAAGATTTCCATACAAATTGGAGGCTTCAAATTGCTGTTGCCTTGTAAGTCTTCCTTATCATTTCAACTAATTCGATATCTGTATTTGACTTAATTCCCAGGCTCAATATCGTCGAGATAGAAGAAACAGAGCAGCCACCATTGGTGGTTCGTTTGCTCCAGGAATATGAGAGCTTTATATTTGAGATCTTAGGTCTATGCTACTTGCCCTACAAATCATCAAAGCGGTTCCAGGACTTCAATCACTTGCAACAGGCTGCCTCATTGAAAGAAGCGATCAACACGTTACAAAATCGACGAAAAGCAGAACAAAACACAAATGGGAATGCTCAAAGTGATCAATCAGTCTCCCAGTGTCTGAGGTTATTACTTTTCATATGGGCTTCCGTGCAAGAAAGTGAAAAAAGCTTTTATGAAAGTCTGGGCCAGAAAGAAAGCAATATATTGTCCTCTCTGGATAACTTTCTTCGAGAGTCGCCACACATCTGGGCCGGTTCTTTGAATGACGCTCTATCGACTATTTGGGAGAGCTTCTCACATAGAGAGGAATATAAGAACCTAATTCTTTTTGTTACTATGGTGGCTGGACCTCTCTTGGATATCAGTCCTAAAGCCCGTTGGGGAATTGAAGAGTGCCTTCTGTGCTATTGGAGTCCGGAAAATATATAATTGAATTCACTGAGAATTAGAGTACGTCGCTTCAAAGTGATGCATTCAGAAAAACGACAGCAATGGAATAATGGATTGATGATGGGCCAAACTGTGGTTGGAAAACCAACTAGCCCTTCTCTGCGTTTGACAACAACTCAGCAGGCTCCGCAAATGAAAATCGTTCACATCCTATTCAGCTTCCACATTTCTGACAAAACCCCAAAACCCTACTCATAAATCAGTCTCCATATGTATCAATGGGAAAATGTCTGAAGAGAGGGAGAGAGGGAGAGAGGGAGAGAGAAAGCGGGGAGTCGCGGTCGCGCCTACGGCGTTGATTTTGAGCAAAGTTTCCTGCCCAACATTGAGTCAACATGATTAGACTGAAGTCAACACACCCCTAATGTATGGTGGCCATCATAATCCTTCACAACACGAACGAGATGAGAAATAAGAGGCTTGTTGTAGGTAGTAATCGTGTTTCGCGTGAAAAGGCTAAACAGGTAAAATAGGATTTGACGAAACCCATCAGTTCAGAGGGGTGCTTTCAACCTCGGACTCCTTTTAGAAGACGCTTTGAGGGCCTACATCCTCATAATATCGAAAATATATTTACATGTACAAGTGACTAAAACGTCCACAGGTTGAGAATAATTCCTCAAATAAAACCGAGCATATTTGGACTAAATGCGATCTTCCAATTTTGTCCTTCTTTGCAAATTTTGATCAAACCTAGAGGGTGTTTAATCTTTGGAGTTCCAGTTTGTGAATTTTCTCCAGCATTCTCAAATTCTCCTTGTATTCTGCCAGCCCGTCTCTTGTCCTTGATGAAGGTCGTTTTGTTGGTTCATCACTCATCTCGACACACTCTCGCCCGTCGCCGAGCGGGATTACACGAGACGGGGAATGCTTTCCGCCGATGAAATGTGGTTTTCGTTCAGTATCTAACTCAAACATTAAGGCCTGACGAAACATGGACAGATACATAAAGATATATTCACTCACGTTTGAGCATTTGATCTGAGGATAGGTTTTCAACAATCTCTTGGCGGCAGTTCAGCGTTGTCACAATGGATAAAATAAAGCGGACAGAACAGAAATAATGGAAATGTCTTAACGTGGTGGGACCACAGTTCGTTTATGATCATCGTAGACCCCTGCACCCTCCATTTTGGCTCAATTTGGCCACTTTCCATAGAAACCAAAGAGTATTTTCCAAAAACGGTGAGACTATACAACCAATCAAGAGTTGCACCGCCAAATCTGTCATTATTAGAAAGCGAAAATTCAGAAACAAGTCATTAGCGAACTATTCGAAATGGGATTTGAGGTATAGCACCCCTGCTCGGGCTACACGTAGCCATCGACGGCGCCGTCTCACAAGGGTGCCTTGAGGACTTTCTACAGAGGTCAGTGAATTTTCTTATCGAATACGTGATTGACGGAGTGCAGGGTCAGGAGACGCGAATGCCAAATTCAAATTACCTGTCGTACTCTGCCGGCTTCTTTTCATTATGTGCCGACCTATACAATTCGCGGTCCAATGTTCATCAAATCCGGCGTTTGTTCAGCTTGATGTTTAATTTTAAATCGAAATCAGCCTCCACGCTTTGAGCTGGCTACTATGAAGTTCCACTATTCAAACCCAGTTGTAATTTATTGGGTTATTTACCAATTACAAGTACTGAATGTAAAATTTGTGTCTTGCGTCCAGTAAGCCGCCCAAATCTTCTGACTGGCTGCTTGGGTAGATAACGGTAGTAAAGCTTTCTTATTGGGCGATTGCTCCTGCTTCATCAAGTAATGATCATCACCAACGATGGTCATTAGTCATACCACCCGAAACTCGAAAGCAGAAACAAAGCCCAAATGTGACTTCGTAGCGATAATACTCCAGCCTTAGGAAGTGGACACATCGTTGGATCATATTACTTTTCCATGTTATGTACCTGTGAACTTTGAACTTGTTTCTGTTGAACTCATGATGGCTAAAGCATGTAAGTTATATTATACCTCTACATGTACACGCCTACTCGGTATTTTGTCCTCGTCTATATTGATCAGTACGGGAAAGTTCACCATACAGTGTTCCTTTGATCATCCACCATAGCGAGACTAGCCCCCAAATTACTGCGGAACTCCAGAAGGCGGTGGCAAATTCCACTGAAGTTGAACAGCAAAAGCCTTCCCTGAAATTCCCCTCCACCCAGCTATTTCCTGGTCGCCTCATGAGTTATGGTTCTGACAATTCCCGGTTACCAAAGGACATACAGGCCGAGGGATATATTGCGCCCACCTCAAATGAATGCCATGAATAACATACTTCACGGCCAGGATATGGATGCTAGCTCGGCCACCTTGAAAGATGAACTGTTTCACATGAAAACCCCTTTTACGAAGAAGCAAAGACTGGAGCTTCATGAAGCAATATTATCTATAAAAGACACAAAGTTCCCTCGTCGATACTATGAAATGGCCTTTCTGGATTTAGAGCAAACAAACTGCCGAGTCCTGGCAGAAGTCTATGTGAAATTTTGTTGAGCCCCACAAGCACGTTAAGCACCCTTAAAATGGACGGAAAGTAGTGGCAGGGGAGATACAGCAATCAAGTCCCGTGGAGAGTGGGCCACCATGGTAGCCTCCTGAAGTGCGCCATCGAGAGCCCGGCCATCTACTCAAAGCAGGCAATAGGATATATCCGGTGACATGTCGGTCCTCTGTGCCACTGTTTTCGATGTGACTTAGCACTTTGCGGGCGTCTTCCGCGATGTTGTCCATGGATTGAGGGCCGTTATTTTTGGTATTCCTTTTCTCATCGGGGGCGAGAAGACCCTCGTGATGGGCATTTATACAGCACATAAAGTGATAACCTGATCGGGATACTAAGGTCGGAGATTGGTCTACAGCGAACCAGGAGTAGATGACCGCGAGAGTTGGTGTGGAATGCAAAGGTGAGTCTAGCACAAGAATAATATGAAAGATGGGAACTGTCAGGGGGGCTAGGCCAATGGCCGTTAGTAGGGCAACGGGCATATCTTGCGTATGGGTAGAGATGACTAGTCAGCATTATTTGCCATTTACCGATCTAATCTAACGCATGGTCATGGCCTTATCATTTCTCATTAAAAATCCGAACAAAAATTAAATCAAGCCGGGCTTTTGAATCAAATTGCCTTCCAGAGGAGAACTATGTACGGATGTTCACTCAGTAGTGATTTGTAGATACCTGCTTAGCTACGTAGAATAGATCATACCTGTGGGGTTCTACGCAGCCTTGATCGCTGCTTCTGTATGCTGCTGCAGCTTCAGCCCAGGCTCTTGTTGACACGGCTGAACAGACCTAGGTTTGGCGTTAGTCTCTCGCTAGTGGACGAAGTCGTCGAAGATGCTCTGCTGTGGCTACTAGGGAAACTTACTATAGACAGCCTTACGCAATTCAGGGTACCTGACACTCTTGATACTGTTGACTAGGATATATATACAACGAGAAGAACAAGTTGATTTCCAATAAACTTGGTGCTTCGTATAGATATCTCGGCGACGGTTCGGCTTGGTTCGTGATCTGCACCAGCCTCATATCACAACAATATACACTCCCTCTCATAGAAGTATATCAACAGTCCGATACATCATAGGCATAATAGGCTCATTATACCGATCGGTATCAATAGCGCTGTAGTGTTTCTCCAATAGATAGACAAGAGGCTCTCAATAACATAAGAAAAGCCCCAGAACATCCATCCAGATTGTTCAGAAGTTTCATCAGTCTATAGTTTTCTCTCGCGTTCCTCGCATGTCCAATTAACATACTATAAGAACCATTTGAGACGAAGGATCCGTGTAAGCTCAGAAAGAGGAGGTTCGCGAATACACATATAGCGGTGATAGCCTTGTCAAAACAAAGTTTTTCGTAAGGTCGCTTTAGATATAGAGAGATACAATTTCTATATAGTCATAGGGCATTCTTTGACGTTCTGTTGACAAACGAAATTCAACCAATTATCATATCAAGTTGCTTTTCCGTTCATCTAGAAGGAAGACCCTGAGCTTTACGCAGTGTAGCTCTTTCATCCATACAAGCATTTTGAACCTGAAGATAAGAAATCCCAACCTGTGCAGCAATTTGAGCGTCCGTATTACCACTGTTTCGTAGCACACAAGCT